ACATTATAAGAATGAATGATTTACACAATCAATCCCTATATATTTAATTAGTCTCCTATGACCACAAAATTAATTCCAAATTAACTCTTGATCAATACTAATTAAATAATATGATTTCATATTAATATAGTATAAATTATAATATATTAATAAATCATACATATCCTCTTCTCAAAAGTCCAAATTGTTTTGGTGAAGTGCAACCCAAATGGACCATGCTAAATCGGGTCAAATACATACCAAATATAGTTATAGACTTAGACACTAATCCAACAGTCTCCCACTTGGATAAGTCTAATAACTGTTATTGCAAGTACAACTCCAAAATCCCGACTAGCAATCGTAGCTCTGAAAAGCCGCCGTCGAACTCTGACCTAGTCAATGACGCGTCCATTAGATAAGGGATCATATATTCCTCCATTCTACAAGATATCATATGAACTGACACATAGATTATGATCATTCTCTCTGTCCATTTGTTGTTTCCCGATTTCCGATTTATGACGACCGACTAATTAAACAAATCAAATCAGTCCAGGCTCGGCCGAGCGCTTAGGGTTGTCATCACTAAATCATCGAAGGGCCCATAGATATCACATTTTCCTAAGTAACTAAGATTGGGAATTTATAACTGTTTAGTTACTTAGTATTTCATTATACTTTTAATGAGAATTTTAAATGTCCTGTCAAACCCGTTCGGCTAACGACCCTCCACCAGTCAAGGAAGCGGTGGGTGAGAGTGAACACCCATTAAACTGCCATTTTATAGGCAGTAACCTTATACCCCCTTATAGACCGGCTTCGTGAATGAGGCCTACTAACGGTAAGACTGACTTTGTTCTTATACATATATATATAAATATTGAACCTATAATATTATAATAGTATAAGGGTAGAATTTTAAACTTTAAAATTCTAGGGTTTCGAATTAAATGTTTCAAAAGTTAGACTTTTACATTTACAAATTCCAAAACTTGAGGGCAAGTTTTGAACTTTTCAAAAACTTTTGGATTCCATAACTTATGAGTTTAAAGTGGTTTAATGAAAAAACTCTTCAAGTTCCATAACTTGAGGACAAGTTATGGAAGACTTTAAAAACATTTAAGAAAATAAGACTCTTCATTTTCATAACCTATGGAACTTTATGAGTTTTAAAATTTTTGAATGAGACTTTTCATGTAACTTGAGGACAAGTTACAAAACTCATATCAAGAACATTTTAGATCAAACTTTGAACAATAACTATCATCATACAACTTTCTATTGATCAAAAACAAACTCATAAATTAAGATAATTCATATCAAACAAATTTTAAGAAATTAGCCTAATCATATAAAGTAATACAAGTCTTGAAACTTTGACAACTATCTATTAATTGGAAGAGAATCATCATTACCATAACAACAAAATCAAATTTTATGAACAAAAACATTTTGTGGTAATGATTCTAATCCAAAACAGGCCAAAAAACTCGAAAAACTGCATTCTGGGGCACCAACTCGTCGAGTGTATGAACCAACTCGGCGAGTTGGATGAATTTGTGCTTGGACTCGGCGAGCCCCCCAGTGGACTCGACGAGTCCACTGTCCAAAACAACAGAAAATCGATTTTTAAAACATTTTCAAGCAAGTAGCATCAAGTATAATTGAAAACAACCCTAGGGTCTGATACCACTGTTGGGTTTTGAGCATACTAACACTTCTAAGGTGTTCATGCAACCCTAAATACCTTGGATCTATGTTTTCACTATTATACATGCAAACTTGAAGTTTCCAAGGTATTACCCTAACTAGCATACAAATCTTTGATACTTGGGTAATAAAACTAGTTAAATAACATACCTTTTCTTGTGGCTTGATAACCTTGAAGCTTTTGGCGTTTAAGAACTTAGCACCAATAGTGTGGATGTCTCAAATGGAATCACAAATCACCAACAACACTTTGGAAACTTGGAAGAGAACTACAATGCTCACAAAAATTGGTCTCTCCTTGTCAATACACTAGGGTGCCAATTTCTTGAACCAAAGGGCTTCTTATATAGTGTGGTTACATTAGGGTTACACCATGTAAACCCTAATGTGCATGACTTTCCACATTCCTCATGATCCATGGGTTTTAACCTCCATGGAGTATCCATAGGTCACCACATGGGTTAAGCCCAACATAAGGAATCATGGATCATTAGTCCACATTATAAGAATGAATGATTTACACAATCAATCCCTATATATTTAATTAGTCTCCTTTGACCACAAAATTAATTCCAAATTAACTCTTGATCAATACATATTAAATAATATGATTTCATATTAATATATTATAACTTATAATATATTAATAAATCATACATATCCTCTTTTCAAAAGTACAAATTGTTCCGGTGAAGTGCAACCCAAATGGACCATGCTAAATCAGGTCAAGTACATACCAAATATAGTTATGGACTTAGACACTAATCCAATAGGAGGTTGAGACAAAAACCGATTTCTGGAGATCAAGCTTTTAAATCGACGTTGTAGAGACTGAAAACGATAGCAATAGCCGTAGGGATTGTTCTGGTGACCTCTAGATTGTTGCCTTCCGGTCCGATCAGTAGGAATACGAAGGGGAAAGAGGCAGATCGGTGATGGGAAGACTGCAAAGGCCGACAGAAGGAGTTGGGGAGGTCGATTTCCGGTGGCCTTCAACTTCGATTTGGCCATCATCATGGTCGATCTGATGTTTGAGGGTAGAAGCAACTCACACATGGGTGTTTATGGTGGTGTTACTCGGCAGGAGGAAGAAGGGAGGGGCCCAAGTTTTGGGTATGTGGCACTCAAACCGGTTATAGCAAGTCAAGAGGACTAAAAATACAGGTAGACCACGAGTTTGTTCCCTCATAAAGCCACTTAAAAAGTTAAGTGACTAAAAGAGTTAACCCTAAAAAGTTCATATTAATATATTATAACTTATAATATATTAATAAATCATACATATCCTCTTTTCAAAAGTACAAATTGTTCCGGTGAAGTGCAACACAAATGGACCATGCTAAATCGGGTCAAGTACATACCAAATATAGTTATGTACTTAGACACTAATCCAACAGGAGGGTGAGACAAAAACCGATTTCCGGAGATCAAGCTTTTAAATCGACGTTGTAGAGACTGAAAACTATAGCAATAGCCGTAGGGATTGTTCTGGTGACCTCTAGATTGTTGCCTTCCGGTCTGACCAGCAGGAATACGAAGGGGAAAGAGGCAGATCGGTGATGGGAAGACTGCAAAGACCGACAGAAGGAGGTGGGGAGGTCGATTTCCGGTGGCCTTCAACTTCGATTTGGCCATCGTCATGGTCGATCTGATGTTTGAGGGTAGAAGCAGCTCACACATGGGTGTTTATGGTGGTGTTGCTCGGCAGGAGGAAGAAGGGAGGGGCCCGAGTTTTTGGGTATGTGGCACTCAAACCGGTTATAGCAAGTCAAGAGGACTAAAAAGACAGGTAGACCACGAGTTTGTTCCCTCATAAAGTCACTTAAAAAGTTAAGTGACTAAAAGAGTTAACCCTAAAAAGTTCATATTAATATATTATAACTTATAATATATTAATAAATCATACATATCCTCTTTTCAAAAGTACAAATTGTTCCGGTGAAGTGCAACCCAAATAGACCATGCTAAATCGAGTCAAGTACATACAAAATATAGTTATGGACTTAGACACTAATCCAACAGGAGGGTGAGACAAAAACCGATTTCCGGAGATCAAGCTTTTAAATCGACGTTGTAGAGACTGAAAACGATAGCAATAGCCGTAGGGATTGTTCTGGTAACCTCTAGATTGTTGCCTTCCGGTCCGACCAGCAGGAATACGAAGGGGAAAGAGGCAAATCGGTGATGGGAAGACTGCAAAGACCGACAGAAGGAGGTGGGGAGGTCGATTTCCGGTGGCCTTCAACTTCTATTTGGCCATCGTCATGGTCGATCTGATGTTTGAGGGTAGAAGCAACTCACACATGGGTGTTTATGGTGGTGTTGCTCGGCAGGAGGAAGAAGGGAGGGGCCCAAGTTTTGGGTATGTGGCACTCAAACCGCTATATAGCAAGTCAAGAGGACTAAAAAGACAGGTAGTCCACGAGTTTGTTCCCTCATAAAGCCACTTAAAAAGTTAAGTAACTAAAAGAGTTAACCCTAAAAAGTTTATAGGGCGCATATGTCATTTTCCTTAAAATAAATATATTAAATGGAATTAAAATTTTCATTCAAATTTTTACAAAGATGATGGGATGAAGACTTTGTTGTTCCCAAAACATTTTATCGTTGTAAAAGGTTCAAAACTTTTCTAAATAAAAGCTTTTTCAAAACTGACATAAACATTTTGTCGTCATGAAAAGTCCGAAACTTTTCTAGTTTTGAAATATAAATTTTTGTGAGGAAAAGAATTTTGCATAAAGTAAAATAAAATAAAATAAAAAGTTGAATAGAGAGTAGGGACTGGGTACTACTATTTCCTTGGGAGTTGGACCAAATCTTTTACATAGAAACTGATCCTATGAAACCGATCTGTTCAAACTGTTCAAATCAATTTAAGCCCAAGCAAGCATCAAACACTTCCCCACCAATCAGGATGCGATTTAGCAAGTAAAACAATAAAAACTAATAAAATAAAATAAATCACTTTCATTCAAAAATAATATATTATATTATATCCGATAAAATAACAAAAGTTTTTTAACTCCAATGAAATCAAACATTTCATTTTTTGGTTAATTTCATAATACCATACACTATCTATTTTTAATTATTTTAGTAGGTGAAAGGATCTTACAACATTTAATTTCAATAAGTTAGTGACATATACAACTACTATGGGTTGATATCATTATCACAAGTAACGAACTATTTGTATTTTGAAAAAACATCATTATTTATAAAAGTTAGTGTCAAACGTAAGCAACTAAAATATTGTGTTTACAAGTTATTTTCTCAACACAACATTATAGTAGTTTACCTTCTGACATCATTTTTTTAAACAACTGTTTGTAAAATAAAAAAATAGTTTGTTACCCATTTAGACATTAACCCCTTAAACATTTGAACTTTTTTCAACAGCCTATTTTCCAAAAAGCTATATTACTAATATCTTTCTCTATAGCACGCATGTTATCATACTTGTTTCAAAACCATGGCAGAATGCTCTTGTCCTTTAAGATGATCCATATAGTCCACCACGCTAGTCCAACCCACATTGCATACTGCACAAGTTATCGAAGCACCAGATGCTGTTCCCCCTTCTTTCATCATCTTCTTCCTCTTTACATCTCCATCCTCTTCACTTGCTAATGAGTCATTAGCTTTCCTTTTACCCTTTTCCAAAATGACAACTTTACCCTCTCCATTCATCATATCCTGCAACATTCTTTCTCCTTTCATTCGCTTTCCAGTTTTATATTCGGCTTTTTTGTGTTTCTTCCCTGAAAGGTGCCTGTTGAGCTCATCATAGGAAGTGCAACAAACCTTACAAAGTTCACATCGTGTAGAACTTCCTTCGTTTGGATTTACAACTTCGCCCTTGGTCAACTTCCCCGAATCAGTATGGGTCGAGGGCAAACCCGTCATTTTCTTTGATTCTTGAAGATTCCTCTTATGATTCCTCCCTCGCAGATGCCTGTAGAAGGTATCGCTGCTATAATCGATCTTACAAACTTCACACCATCGAAACTTAACTTCCTTTGAATCCTCAACTTTTTCCACATGCTTGGAAACTGGTGTCTTCGCCATTGAAGCAATAGGCGTGGTCGATGGTGGGGTTTGTATTTTTTCTGAATCTTTAAGGTTTTTCAGGTGATTTTTCCCTGGATTGTGTTCTTGAAGCTTCTGTTCGCTGTTACAAGTGACTTTACAAACTTCTTCTTCCACTTTCTCTGTGCCATTGTTGGAAGACTGAACCAGAGTACCATTGTTCACCTGATTTCAACGAATTTTCATAAATCAATCTTCAAAAAGGGATGTAATTCTTCAATTAACACAGTAATTTTGTTCAATTTTTACCTGGGTTTCTTGTTTCTCACCATGGAGATGCTCTGTATCTATGTTTCGATCATGGCATACCAGATCAGGAATGGTGCAAGTAAACAAAGATTCAACTGAGGGTACATTTTGTAAGAAATCTTCCTTCTTCTTCTTCTTATCGGTTTCATGGTCTGAAGTAGCGTCTGCAACCAGTGGTGGCGTTTCTTGGATGATCGGAGATGAAACAGAGAGCTTTTGTATATTCTTTAAATGTTTCTTTCCTTCCTTGTGTTCCCTTAACATTTCCTCAGAGTTACAAGATACCTTACAGATCTCACAACGGATGCTTTGCGAGTTTCCGCTTTCTATCTTTGTTTCTACAACATCATTCACGATCTGAGGAGGACCAGTTTCCGAGTTTGCAGGGGAATTGGAAGCCATGGGCGCCATTGGAGGTTCAGTGAAGCTTCCACCTGCCTGAATACATATCGCTAATGATTTCCTTTCTCATTTTATCGAGTAACAAAAAAATATTAAATTGATTCAAGATCGTAATGCTTAATTATCTATGAAATTGAAAAAAGAAACATAAAGAAAGTACTGATCAGACTTACAAACTCATCGTTATGACGCAAACCCATTATCCAACTGTACCTTTCTAAACTTTATTCGTTGAAAATAACAACAAATAAACAATAGAGTGGGGTGGGGCCTACAACCATGAACTATGGTGTCGAAGGTACAAATCCGTCGTCGTCCCCTCTGAAAGCGAAGGGACTTTCGCAAAATCATGATCTTGAATTCTTAATAGAGGACAAAATGACATGGAACTTGGAATGTGAGTACTTACATGTTCAGATGGAGTTAAATCACTTGTGTTTGTGTATGTGATGACATCAGTTCGTGAAGCTGCACAAGGGTCGACATCTAATGGTGACATCGGCTTTAATTTATCATCAGCATTAGGTTTAGGGTTCAAGAACGAACAGATGTGGATTCCTTGAGGATGAATCATGGATTCGGGAATGTTAAAAGATCGCATTACAGGATTAGGGTTTGGAAACAGGAAGAAAGATGAAGATGAAGATGAAGATGAAGATGAAGATGTTTGCTGTTCTTTCAACATTTTTGTTTCAGGAATCAGGGTTTGAGGGTTTTGATGATAAAGATTGGTTGTTTGCAAGCTTTTAAGTCTTTGTTAGATTCAAATATACAGCCATTTATGGGAGAATTTTCAGACGAAAAGTGATTGCGTATGCTTGTCATATTTACCATTTATAGATGACACAGCTAAGAATCTGATTTGACATTAAATCATGCAATTATTTAGTTTATTGCTTTTCTTCAAATAGTAATTATTAGAATAAAAAAAAAGTATCAAAATGTTTATAATAATCCGAGAATTTTAGCTAAATAATAATCAAATCCACTCAATGTTTGTAATGTTATAATTCTTCTATAAAATGCATGACAATTTTTTGTACATCCCATCTATAAAAACAACAGAAACACCGACATGAATAATTCAATAGAGAAAAGGTTATAAAAATAGCCTGGCTGTGTTGTTGCTTTTGTAACCGTTTGTCTCGATCGTCCCCTCCGAACTAATATAATTTAAAATTTCAAAATAATAGTAATGATTTACCTAAAAATATACATTTTTCAACTTTATAAACAACACATACTTTATATTAATAATTTCAATCTTCTCAAATATACAATTGTGTCAAATGGATTTATCATTTGCATATTCATCATCAAGTTCAGATTTTATGTCATCTGCTAATACTTTATTAAAAATATAAAAAGTATTTTATTAAAAATATTTTATTTAAAATTTAAAAGAAGGGCAACTCTAAGAGTACAAATCTAAGTTGAAATTTTTTTGCTTATGCTTCAACCAATTAAACAAATTTTAGTTGAATATCAAATAATTAATCCCAATTTTCCTGAAATAATAAAATTTCTAACAAAAACAATAAACCATAAACCGAGGGCCCACATCTAAACCTCTTTGAGACATATTGGTAGAATGGTAGTAGAAAAAGTAATGGTCCACTCCTTCAACATCCAATGAACAGAAATGACATAAAATCAGTTGTAAAGGCCACCCCCATCATGAGTAAGTTTGGAAATAACGGGATTCTATATAAGACCAAGTCTCCAAGAAAAACAATAATTTCAATGGCACCCAACCATTCCATCTTATTAACGGTTGGATAAAAAGACGCCTTGTTTTACATTAACTTTTGAAATATTTTTATTGACTGAAATTGCATTGTTTCCGAAAGAACTGATATTAAGTAGTTAATTATAGGTTTGTCACCTAATTAACACCATTTGTGTAAAGCAGAAAATTAAAATTTTCCAGCGTGTTGGTCAACTGTATGAATTCCAAAGTCTATTGGTCTCGTCTCTTTCTCATTTTCCAATTCCATCTAAGTGAAAATGACACCCATCATTTTGAAGTAATACACTATGTGAGACCAAACAGTTTTTATCGGATTCAATGGAATAAAGTCATGAGAACCGGTGTTTAATCAAAAAGTCACTGGTCCATTTATCTTTCCAAAAGCTTGTTTTAGATCCATTTCCTACTTTTCGTTCAATAAACTGTGAAAGTACAATGCTCAAATCCAAAAAAGCATCATAGATAATGCTTAATCAAGTACCGGGGGATGACTTTTTTGCTAAGAATTTAGTGCCGTGTTTGTAATAATTATGAATAGCCCAAATGTAAGACCAAATGGAAATGTCCTTTGTTTTAGCCTTCCACCATCATTTCGCAAGGAGACTAAGACCGGAAGACCTTTTAACTTACCACCCCCGAGAACACTAACGCCTTGTTCCCGAGTTCCACTTAAGGAGAGAAATGGGAGGATACGGAGGGAAAGTGAAGGGTGTCGAAGGAAAATCATGTTCCCGAGTTTCATTAATGGAAGGAAAGTGAGGGGAGGGGAAGGATTTTGGAGTCATATTTTCCTTCCAAATTGGACGGATTTGGGAAGAAAGTGAGGGGAAAGAAAATTTTTAGTTTTATTTTCTTTTTCCTCCTAACTCGGGAACACAAAAACTTAAAATTTTCCTTTCATTTCTTTTCATTTCCTTCGAACTCGGGAACACGGAATAATGAATATTTTCCTTCACCTCCCTTTCTTTCCGTCAAAATTTTCCTTCACTTTCCCTTGATGAATTTACAAAAAAACTCGGGAACAAGGCGTAAAATATTTGGGAGAAGTAATTATATGTCAAGCTACATAATTAACCGTTTTTGTTTCGAAATCACCAGCCCAAAGAAATTTCTGTCTAATATTTACCAAAATATCGATTACCTTCTTGTAAGCGTTAAAAATTGATATAAATTATAAAGGCAAACTTCTGAGAACCGATTTAATAAGTGTAAGTCTCCCACCAAAGGAGAAGGACTTCACTTTCTAGAAGTTAGTTTATCTCTGAACCGATCAACAATTGGAGAACAATTATGGGATAACTACATACTCGATCCGATAAACAAGCCAAGATATGTAAAAGGGGATTTTGAAGCTTCATGGTTAAGAAAATTATCTAATCCAGAATCTTCAACATCATCGATTTCAATGACATAAACTCTGCTTTTGTTGAAGTTAACTTTAAGCTCGAAATAGAGATAAAAGCACCTAATAATTCATTTTAAGTTGAGAAACTTTATCGGTGATCACTCGCCGAAAAAAATGAGATCATCGGCATACATGAGGTGCGACAAAATCGGCCTATTATTGAGAAGAGAAAAACCATGAAAAAGTATTATTTTCGCATGCCGACTTCATCACTACATGCCTTTCATTTCATTGCTAAAATAAAAAGGAATGGCGAGAGCAGATCTCCTTTCCTACCCCTCCCCCCCCCCCCCCTCTTCTCGAGATGTAATTTGCATGTGTGGGAGCCATTAACAATAAAGGAGTCTCTCCCATATTTAAGACCTCCCTTGATCCAATTCCGCCACTGGGTAGCAAAATTCATTTGAACTCGTACTTAATCTAAAAAATCCCAATAAAATGAATCAAAATAAAATGAATCAAAAGCTTTATCAAGATCTACTTTAAAAAACATCATGTGAACTTTATCCTTTTTCTCCCAACTACCAACTTCGTTTATAATGAAAGGACCATCTAAAATACTTGACCCATCAAGATACGTTGATTACTTACAATTAACAACCGAGACAATCACTTTTCTAAGATGCATGCCAATAATTTTCGACAAGATTTTTGCAAAACAACCTATAAGACTTTTTTAAGGTGAGTGCCAATAATTTTGGACAAGATTTTTGCAAAACAACCCATAAGACTTTTTTAAGGTGAGTACTACATATGATTTGCTCCTAAGTGTGTCAACAAACAATAAGTGTGAAATTAACTGGTTAACTATGTATATGTGCATTAGAGGGACTGATTATATACTTAGGGGGTTGATGTTTCTTATTGAATCTAGAAACGTTAGTGTTGTCTCCATTTTGATGATTGGCCAGTGCGAAATATGAATAAACATGAAGATAATCGACATAATAAACTAACTAACACGATGAGCCAAATGATATTCTTAGATAGAAAGAGCATAAATGATACATGAAGAACAAGTTGTTGGGGAGAGAAATTCCATGCCACACTCTCTCTAAACTAAATGACTACATTTTGGTGCACTCTATTAAAATGACCACTCTCCCTCTATTTATAGAGAGGGGTACCTTATACACAATAATAAAAGGGAATATTCTAACATAGCTATCACTCAACATTATAGAGCATTTCCAGCTCCAACAATCTCCCCCTAAATGCTTGGAAATGTTGAGGGGATAAAAATAGTGATAGAAGGCTAAAATACATAGTATCCAACATGCAGGTGCAATAAAAATGATACAACTGAGTAACAAGTGCTAAAATGTCTTGAAACTATGAAGTATCTGTAATCTCTAACTCTGGGTAATGAATCTTTGTAGTCGAAGTCTTCTGAATATTGAGGCTTAATCTTTTCCAGTGTTAAAGAATGAGATCCATATCTACAAATGTGATTAGTGAACCAAGCTGATCATCTTCAGAGTTCCCCTAAAACTACTGAACTGAAGATCCCGAAATCAGATCACACTTCATCTTTAAAATTCTAATCCATCTCAAATCTATGAAGAGCATCATAATTTACCAAATACATATCAAAATGAATAGCCTGCTGAAAATGTGAAGCATCATGAAATGAAGTCTGAATAATAAATAAAATGGAACCAGAGATAGTCTAGCAATGCCAAAATTTTGATCAATAATGACCAAAAACTAGTGTCACATTGCATTGCTAAAGAAATCTTCGTCTTCGAAGTATCAAAAATCCAAACTCGGACAATCATCAAATGTGATGTAGGTTCCTTGATCAATATCAATTAACAATAAGTATAAACAAAAGAACACAGAAGAATTAACAAAAAGGTTTTCACTAAGAATATGTTTTCAATAAGAGAATGAGCACAAAGCTCTAGGGTTTGATAATCAACTAATGATCAGAACCCTAGTATATAAAGAAAAGTAAATACAATGTGAATCCCCACAAACCAGGGATATCACCTAATCTATGATAATAATATAGTATATCCGATATCACTAGAATATAAGATCTTCTAACTATCTACGTATATTCTATAAATACAAGAGATTGCATAAGATACACATATCATGCTGACACAACTTTATAAAACATAACTTAACATTGGTGCTTAAGATGTTGGCGTTGATTGAGTCAGCGTGACTGTTTTACATCATCAAATTCTAAGGCTTGACCTTACAATTTCCCCCAATATGATTATGTCAGAACCCAAAGTCTTCTTCTTCAGAACGATGGTAGAACTCATTAACATCTTCTTTAGCTTCTGGCTTGACCCAAAAATAGCTTGAGATAGCAAGCTATTTCTTTCTATTGTTCAATTCCATTGAGATTAATAAGGGATAGTTTTGAGAAAGATTTGCGAAGATAATACATGTAATTCTGAGATGAACCAAGTGTTCAATGGGTGCTTTGAAAAGATTGTTTGAACGCTGGAAGCACATATGCTTGGATTCATCCATGTAGACGATGTCAAGATCTGGTTGAAGAATGAACATGTTTTGAGCTGGATGAACACCCACTG